ATTGGCTCCATGACTTGGGCACTGAGGATGTTTACTCCAGCCCTAGCCTTTTGCGCTGCTACGGAAGCGTAAAACCTTAAAAATTTAAAAAAAAAAAGGAATATCAATTTAATCTAAATTAATTAAATCTAAATTTTAAAATTTTAATTAGCACAAATAGACAGTGGAGAACCATCCCACCACGAGAACCACATCCATGAGGTCACCTGATGGCATTTTGTCTTTCCCAGTCTTCCCATAAGGGTCGCACAAGGAGCTGTATTGGGGGGTGGTGGAAAAAACCCCTGATGGGTCCCAAATTTCGCTTGGTGATGAGCAAGTGTGACATTTTAATTGCCAGCAGAGGGAAAAATGGGATCAGAAGTTTGAAACCGGCCTCCACGGCAGAGGTTCGTTGAGCAGAGTGAGGTGTTTCCCCGTGTCCCACGTTAATAATTGATTTCCTCCTCCTTTGCAGGCTCCTCAGCCTTAGTTTTAATATTTATTTTCCTCCTTTTTCTCCCACACTCTTCCCGCTACGCTCCCGTGCCTTCCCTCCCCCAGGGGAAATCCCACCAACCCACCTCTCATTGACTTTTCCTCCTCCACCCAGACCAGGATGGGGGGCACTCAGCTAATTAAATCTGCCCCGGGTATTTAATTGCATTTATTATACCTTTATTACCCTCAAAGTCTTCTTATTGGGCACACAACCCAATAATCCCAATTTTCTTGGGCTGGCACACCCGGCAGAGAGACTCTTGACCCATACGAGCTCGTTAAATAGAAGCATTAATTGAGGACCACAATTTCCCCAGCCAAATGATGGCATCCCTAGCCCCTCAGGCTGTGGTTGCGATTCGTGGCCGTGGCATGAAAAAGAGAGGTTTTTAAGCATTTAAACACAATATGAAGATGGGGTGGGGAAGAAGCTGCACACAGACCCCCCAAAAAACTTGTTAAATCTTGATTTTTCCAACTTTTCCCCAAAAAGAGAGGTTTTTAAGCATTTAAACACAATATGAAGATGGGGTGGGGAAGAAGCTGCACACAGACCCCCCCCAAAAACTTGTTAAATCCTGATTTTCCAGCTTTTCCCCCCTCCTCTCATGCCTCTTCCTTTTCCTCACCCTCTCTCCTGCCCAAGAGATTAAAGGAGCATAATTATTTCCCCTAAATACGCAGAATTATGAGGATTAATTAGATATCTTAGTGTAACGCACCCACGACAGGCTGTAGCCTACCTTTGTGGTTTTCCAGGCATATAAAAATTCTACACAAAAATAAGAATTACCTTTTGGGCAAGAGGACACACGTTGATATTTCAAAATTAAGGGCAAAAGTGGTTCTGGTTGGGTGACTCCAGGTGAGGATGCTCAGGGGGAAGCACCATCCCAGGCTGGACCAGCTGCAAGACCCACCTCCTGCTCAAGGAGAGAGCATCAGTCCAGACCCCACTGCAATAAGTGGCAAATCTGAGCTAATTAAAAGTGAAAAACCATCAGGCCAGACCCCACCGAAACATAAAAAAGTGATAAAAAGTGGAAAAACCTTTCCCAGATAACAGCTCTCCCTCCAAAGAAGAAACTGGGGCATGGAAGTAAAATCACACTGACGTTCTGCACTGTCAAAATATTGAAATTACACTCGGACAGACTATTATCTCCCTGCAATTTATTTCTTTTTATTTATTTTTTTTCATTGGAAAAAATCACAGAAACTGCTGGAGAGCTTGAAACCAATCCTTAGTGAGTTCTGCAGGGCCACGCTGAGCCCAGTGTCCTTTTCCCCCTCTTTCTTTGAGCCCTGTTGCTCAAAGCAAATAAATTTACAGGCTTACAGATCTATAAAATAGAGGAAAAAAAGGCAATTCTTAGATTGATTAACCCCATTATTTGCGTCGCACACCTCGCACCTCTCCTCTTTCCTAACAGCCGGGCTCTGCCAAACAAAAACAGATTATGCTTCGTGGGCAAACAGGCTTAAAAAAATTAAAATTATTTTAATTTTCATTCCCGGAGGATGCACCCAAGCCCCCGGGCCATGGATTCACCCATTGATGCCACAGGGTCTTGGGAGCATCCCTCTACACGTTGCCTACAGCCTCCCCTGTAAATATTATCCCCCCCAAAAAAGTGGTGCACATTTTGAGCGACTTCACAGCAATTTTTTTTAATCTAATTAATTTTTTGCCTTTTAGTGTGGGAAGAGTATCACAATAGGAGTGGTGTAGCATCAGGGCAGAGCAGAGGGGCAGGATGACCTCCCTCCACCTGCTGCTCCCACTCTTCCTGATGCCCCCCAGGATGCCATTGCCCTTCTTGGCCACAAGGTGGCACACTGCTGGCTCGTGGGTGTCCTATTGTCCACCAGGACTCCCAGCTCTTCTTTCCTGACCCTGACTCCTTCAGGGCAGGAGATTGAATGCAAAGGTTTAGGTTTTTTCCTCATCACAGCGTGGACCCTTCAACCACAAACCCCGCAGCCCTCAAAGCCACCTGCCTTGACCATCTCCTGGCTGGTAAAAATCACCAAAAAAAAGAGAATTGGTTCAGTTCTACCTTACACCAGGATGTTGGTGAACCGTGTGCCGGGCTCACCTTCACCGTGTCCTGTTTGCCCGGGCTAATGACATCCCATAAACCCACAAAGGGCCGGGCAGGTACCTTTGAAGATGCTGGAAAGTCCCCGACTGGGGGAAATGGATAACCCTGGCTCGTAAAGGGATGCCACCCCTATAATTAGCACTATTGTTCCATAAAACGAGGTAATCTAGTTATTGGTTTGGTTTTTGTTTTTTTTTTTGACATAGGCACAGTTGGAAATATCTCAGCTCCAACCCACCTTGGCTGGCCTTCAAAAGATCTTTCCGCTTCTGAGGTGACTCAGCTGGGTTGGGTTTTCCCCTTGGAGAAAGATAAAGATTTCTCAACATCCCAAACCCGGCCTCCATCAGGAAATTTCCTTGTGTCCTCTGGGATCTATAAAACTCACCCGGGGCTGTAACAGCTTGGTGGCAGGAGAAGGAAGGTTTGGATGTAGCTGAGATACACAGAAGGAGTTTAATTATTAAACCTTTCCCGTGTTGAAGACCTTTGAGGATCCTACCAGGCTTTTTTAGCTGGTGGGATCTTGACAGAGAACGTTGTGGGAGATGTTTGTGCTGTTAAACATCAGAAAACAAACCAAAAAAGAGGGGTTACATCAGAGCTGCATCAATACGTGCAAACTCTGGTACTTCTTTAAGGACTAGTAAAAAAGTTCCAACAGATTTGGGGGCTTTTTCTATGAGTTGGGGGTGGTGGTTTTGCTGCTTTGGGGTTTTTTTTTTAGCCACGTTGCAATGTGTTCCTTCACTTCACCTCCATCCCATCACGCTTTGATGATTTTAAGCTCCCTTCCTCCCTAGACATGGAAGATCCCTTCCATCCTAGACTTGTCCCTGCTGAGTGTGATGAGGTGGGGACGTTGGGAGGTTCCTCAAGCCCTGGTGGGGCTGAGAAGACCTCCCCGAGCAGCTTTCCAGAGCTTCTGGAAGCTTCACTGGCTGAAGAAGTCACATCTCCCCATCCAGCAGCTCTTCTAACCCAAGGAGAACCCACCCGGAAGAGTTACAAAGCTCCTCAATGATGGCCACTATGCTCCTCTGTGAGGGGAGACAACGAGTAAACTTGGAATAGTCTGAATCTCTCTCTGCCATCAAATTTTTACAACTCATTGTAGGAGGAAACTGGTGGAACTCCATATAGTCTGAATCTCTCTCTGCCATCAAATTTGTACAACTCATTGTCTGTAGGAGGAAAGTGGTGGAACTCCACAGGGAGTAAAGCTTTGCTGGGCTGTTAAGACACCTACCAACACACTGGAAAAGGTAAAACTTTCTCCAATGACAAATAAAAACCCACCCCGGAGCATTTTATGGGGTGGGTGAAGCCTCTGGTTTATGGCCGTTGGTTCCAGAAGGGCTATGGCACCCCCACCTATAAAACCCACTCAGCGTGACGTCGGCCACCTCCAGGAGATGGCAAAGGAACACAATAGCAGCAGAACAAACCCACCTCCTCATTCCTCAGTGAGGTGCATCATCCCATCTCCCAAGAAGACCATCTCCCCTCGTCCTCTTCACCATCTCAGAAGACCTGGTGGGCACCCTAAGGAGCTCCTCAGCTTGAGGACCCAGCATTTAAACCTTCTTTTTTTTCCAGCTGAATTGTTTTAAAGCAGATTGGTTGATTTAAACCAGGCTGAGTGATTCCCCACACCTGAGAAACCCAGCCTGTTTCTCCCCTGACATCTGAAGGCACCTAATAACAAGGCAGGTCTCCACTGCTCCTTTGAGCTGTGGTGGGACACAGGATGAGGCAGGTCCCTCAAACCTTTTTATGTCCAACTCCTGTTTTTGACCTTGTTTCTGGCCTTTGAAGCCAACGCTGAGCTGTGGGTTAATGATGTGACAGTGACATTTCTCCTCCTGGACATCCATGAGGTATCTTTTCTTGAAGGCAATGAACAAGCCAACCCTTGACCCCTGTTGGGGTCCGCAGTCTGGTCTGCGAGGCCCAGCCTGAGCATGGCCACCAAAGGGCTTCACAAACTCCTCATGGAGAGGTGGCAGAGACAACTGGGCCATCGATGTGGTGGGCTGGGGTGGGACTGGAGAAGAGGTTTATGCAGGGACCTGCACAGCCCCTCTCTCCGCTCTGCAAACGGCTGGGACACCCCGCCAGGATGGGGAGGGTGGCAGGGCCTGCAGGTGGTGGGACGTTTGTCCCAAAATGATCAAGGTGAAGACTGGGATGACCTTCAGCTGGATTAAAGAATGGCCAGGGGACTACAAAGAGCCTTGATAAATGAATCATGGAACGGTTTGGGTGGGAAGGGACCTTAAAGACCATCCAGTTCCACCTCCTGCCCTGGGCAGGGACACCTCCCACCAGCCCAGGTTGCTCCAAGCTTCCAGAGCGAGGGAGGAGATGGTAGAGCGGTGTTACAGAGAGCAAAAGGCAGTTGGAATGGCAGAAATTACTTTATTATATACAATCAAATGACATTGCGCTATAAATAAGACGTTATAAAAATAGAAAAAGAAAACAACCTTTTTTTTTTTATAACTAATAACCCCGAATCCTTCTTTTTCGCTGAACGTCCCCGCTGGATAAACAGCCAAAAAGGTATCAAGAAGTAGTGCAGGAGACACGGCGAGCAGGAGAAATGCTTGGAGAGGAGAGAGGTCATTTTTTGGCAGGTCTGGGGAACTTCTTGAACTCGTCCTGGTGCTTGAAGAAAAGCTGAGCAAGGATATGATCGGCTGTTCCGTGGAAGTAGTCGTTCATGCGAAGAGTTTCCAGCTACGAAGGAAAAGATGATACTTTTTAAAGAATAATCACAGCTACCTGATCCTTTGTACAATATTCATAATGAGGAGTATTAAAGTACAGCTCAAATCCAAGATGAAAATTAATCGAAGTGTATAATTAATAAGTCTCACAGTGGGGTATCAAGATTATAGAAACATAGAATGGTTTGGGTTGGAAGGGACCTTAAAGACCATCCAGTTCCACCCCTGGACACCTCCCACCAGACCAGGTTGCCCAAAGTCCCCTCCAACCTGGCCTTGAACCCCTCCAGGGATGGGGCAGCCACAGCTTCTCTGGGCAACCTGGGCCAGGCTCTCACCACCCTCACACCAAACAAGTTCTTCCCCACATCTCAGCTCCATCTCCCCTCTTTCAGGGTCCAACCCTTCCCCCTCGTCTTATGACTCCCCTCCCTCATCCAGAGTCCCTCCCCAGCTTTCCTGGAGCCCCTTTAGGGACTGGAAGGGGCTCCAAGGGCTCCCTGTGGAGCCTTCACTTCTCCAGGCTGAACCCCCCAACTCTCTCAGCATCCTCCTCCCAGCAGAGGGGCTCCAGCACCTCTTGTCCATAGGACAAGATCACGGGATACATGGAATCTCAGATAAATCCACCTTGTTCTGGCTCCTGGGATGTAGACCTCTCCCCTTTGTGATTTCTCAGCATGTAAAGCCCCTCAGCTTGGCCAGTTTGCCCCAGGATAAGCTCCATCTCTCCAACACCCGCAGAACCTCATGCACAACCATGACCTGAATTCCATCTCTCTCCAACACACGCAGAGAAGAGCCTGTCACACCCTTCCACACACCTTTTCTTTGCCTTCCCCACCTCCCTTTCCGTGTACAGAGGTTTGATCACAGAATCCCAGAATCTTCTAGGTTGGAAGGGACCTTAAAGATCATCTTGTCCAACCGTCAACCTGACTGACAAAAATAGACACCCACACAACAAACAAGGAGCATCATCACTAAACCAGACCTCCCAGCACTACATCAACCCGGCTTTTGAACACCTCCAGGGATGGGGCCTCAACCACCTCCCCGGGCAAAGGTGATGGCTTTTTCATGCCAACCACTCGCACCAGAAGGGAATCTGCACCAGGAAACGTGCTTGAAATACTCACAGAATTTCTTTTTAAGGCATCCAGCAAAGCATAAAGCTTACGTGTCTGAGAAAAGCATGATGATGGGCAGCTGAAGATGTTTTACTCCCCTTGCCCCTAAGATTCCTCACCTGGTTTCCTGTACTGTAGGCCAGAATCAAAAGCAAATCCTCGTCGCACACGCTCTTGATGTAATGCTGGGTTCCCACGGGGAAGAAGATGACATCTCCAATGCCAATGTTGAAGTTGGAGGTGACTCCAGAGAGAATAACCCCAACCTGTTGTGAAGGAAAACAGCAATTCTCAACAACAACTGGGTTTAGTGTGCTCTTGGGGGGTAAATACAGGGTGATGGTCCCAGCACTGCACTGAAACCAGCTGGTGTAGCATCAGCACCTTCACCCAGGCTCCAAAGGCTAATTCCCAAGAATCACAGAATGATATGGGGTTGGAAGGGACCTCTGGAGATCATCTCCTCCAACCCCCTGCCAAAGCAGGTCCACCCAGAGCAGGTCCCACAGGAACGTGTCCAGGGGGGGTTGGAATGTCTCCAGAGAAGGAGACTCCCCCCCCTCCCTGGGCAGCCTCTGCCAGGGCTCTGCCACCCTCACAGGAAAGAAGTTCCTCCTCATGTTGAGATGGAACTTCTTATGGTCAAGTTTGTGCCCATTCTCTCTTGTCCTGTCCCTGGGCACCACTGAAAAAAGCCTGGCCCCATCCTCCTGACACCCACCCTTCAAGTATTTCTAGGCCTTGATCAGATCCCCCCTCAGCCTTCTCTTCTCCAGACTCAAAAGACCCAAGTCCCTCAGCCTTTCCTCACCAGAGAGATGCTCCAGGCCCCTCACCATCTTTGTAGCCCTCTGCTGTCCCCTCTCCAGCAGTTCCCTGTCCTTTTGGAACTGGAGAACCCAGAACTGGACCCAGTGCTCCAGCTGGGGCCTCCCCAGGGCAGAGCAGAGGGGCAGGATGACCTCCCTCCACCTGCTGGTCCCACTCTTCCTCATGCCCCCCAGGATGCCATTGGCCTTCTTGGCCACAAAAACACATTGTTGGCTCATCCTGTTGTCCACCAGGACTCCCAGGTCTTTCTCCTCAGAGCTGTTCTCCAGCAGGTCACCCCCAACCTGTCCTGGTGCAGGGGGTTATTCCTCCCCAGGTGCAGCACCTACACTTGCCCTTGTTGAATTTCAACAGGTTCCTCTCTGCCCAACTCTCCAACATGGAAAGAAACAACATGGAAAGTCCTTACGTTACGGAGTCTCATTGTTTCCCCTCAATTATCTTTGCCCTTTAAATTTAAAACCATATATAATAAAATCCTGACCTCTAAATTGGAACGCTCACTAAATTTTCCCCATTTATCTGTTCCTCAGAGGCACTAAATCAAAAGTATTTAATTCTGTACTCCTAGAATTCAGGGGAGTAACGATTCCTCTAATAAGAATTTGCTGAGGAACTTGATAAGATTGGGAAAATTCTGCTCTTTTTATAACTCCGCTTCGACTAGAAAAGCTTCCACAAAGAGAAGGAAAATGTGGACGCTGAAAGTTTTGTAATACCACTAATTAGAGTGTTATTTATCAGGGCTGGGAATCAACTGTTAGGAGGTCTGTAATTGTTTTATAGCCCAAACTCTAACATTCCTCCCTTATCCCTCACCGCTGTAAGAACTTACCTGTCCGCAGCCGCTAATGACATAACCCATCTCGTTAGCGTTGAAGTGGAAATGAGGCTGCCCCAGCCCGTTGCTGAATATCCGCAGAGTGGCCAAGGTGAGGGTGTTTTCGTGCTGAAAAAAAGAAGAAAAATGTTCAGAAATCCATCCAGGTTTGTTATATCCCCGTTATACGTGCCAACCCACAGGAATCTATCCAGTGATCCATCTGGATTTCTGTACTCAATGGCTCAAAGTCCAGATGGAGACCAGTCACAAGTGGTGTTCCTCAAGGGTCCGTGCTGGGGCCAATACTGTTTAACATTTTGATCAATGATATAGACAGGGGGATTAAAGGCACCATCAGCAAGTTTGGGGACGACACCAAGCTGTGTGGTGTTGTCGATGCACCAGAGGGATGGGATGTCATCCAAAAGGACCTGGACAGACTGGAGAGGTGGGCCCAGGTGAACCTCATGAGGTTCACCAAGAGCAAATGCAAGGTTCTGCACCTGGGCCGGAACAATCCTCGCCACCAATACAAACTAGGGGGTGAGGTATTGGAAAGCAGCCCTGAGGAAAGGGACTTGGGGGTGCTGGTGGAGGAGAAGCTGGACATGAGCAGGCAGTGTGCAGCTGCAGCCCAGAGATGTGTTGCCAGCAGGTCCAGAGAGGGGATTCTGCCACTTTACTCTGCTCTGGTGAGACCTCACCTGGAGTATTGTGTGCAGGTCTGGAGCCCTCAATAGAAGAAGGACATGGACCTGATGGAGAGGGTCCAGAGGAGGGCCACGAGGATGATCAGGGGGATGGAGCACCTCTGCTACGAGGACAGGCTGAGGGAGCTGGGGTTGTTCAGCCTGGAGAAGAGGAGGCTCCGGGGAGACCTAATAGCAGCCTTCCAGTACCTGAAGGGAGCCTACAGGAAGGCTGGGGAGAGCCTGTTTAGAAAGGCCTGCAGTGACAGGACGAGGGGCAATGGCTTCAAGCTGGAGGGGAACAGATTTAGACTGGAGATGAGGAGAGGGTTCTTCACTGTGAGGGTGGTGGAGCACTGGAACAGGTTGCCCAGGGAGGTGGTTGAGGCCCCTTCCCTGGAGATATTCAAGGTGAGGCTCAACGAGGCCCTGGGCAACCTGGTCTAGTTGGGGGTGTCCCTGCTGACTGCGGGGGGGTCGGACTAGATGGCCTTTGGAGGTCCCTTACGGCCTGGACAACTCTATGATTCTATGAATCCCATCCCGTGCCTTATGTTCAAGGACCCACAGAGTCCGATGTAAAGCACGTACCTTGTTCAGTCTTTAGAGGTCCCTTCCAGCCTGGGCAATTCTATGATTCTATGAATCCCATCCCATGCCTTATGTTCAAGGACCCACAGAGTCTGATGGAAAGCACGTACCTTGTTCAGCGACTCGCTAAAGATTTTCTCCTTTTCGTTTAGGCCGGTGCCATTTATGCGGTAACGAGCCCACTGGAAGACTCCTCCTGGAAAAGGATATTCTGCTGACCCTGAAACAAGAGACAGCCACATGAGCGTTTCCACCAAGGTTTGGAAGCTTCAAGTCTTTACTACAGACTAAACCCGAGGCCTCAGATCTTGTGGGCCTCCAGAAGCAAAAAGAAAGCCCATTTAGCTTATCTGTCCTTCGTGCTCTAGACACTGTGCAATCTCCTTTATTGGATTTTGCTTTACTCAGATAACCATAATGAAAAACTCCCAGTAGCTATTTTTCCACCCCAAATTGCTGTCAATGACAATACACTTAAAGAAAACACTACCTTTCAATATATTCATTCACCTTAACCTTTAAGTACGATAAAGTCCTGCCAGTGCAGAAGAGCATTTTGGTCCAAGTGCAGAGATTTCTGGCCCCACATCTCTGTCTCCTGACCTCCATCAGCTGCACGGGGAGCTCTGCACCTGTGTTTGCTTTTTTTGGTAGCTTCTTGGACAGACTATGCTGCTCAGAATTAAGTTTTGCCATCTGTGTTAATTAGGTGCTCCCTGATAATCACTACATCCAGGCTGTACAGAGGGTTGTTTAATAAAAAGCTTGATAAACCAAACAGTGAATATGGTTCAATGCTGTTTATGAAGTTGTTTTTGTAAAAGGGAGGAGGTAATTAGGTGTATGTTAAGGTCATTGAGGTTTCAAACACAAATGCAAGATATTTTGAATATAAGAATGGGGTTATACATCTTCAAAGGACAATAATTAGACGTGTTATCAACATATTTGTCATTTTATCTCCTTAAATTCTTATGGTTTCCTTATATACTTTTTAACTCCTGTTTCAGGGAATTGATTACAAGCCCCCTTCTCTCCCCATTTCGAAACAGAGAGCTCAAACACATAAAGTTCTTTGTTGGATACCTTTGAGATCGTAGAAGAACTGCCAGACGAAGTTGTCCGGAGACTGCACGTAGGTGGCATTATTCACAAGCTCGTTCAAGTTGGAGGGGAGGTTAATTGCTTGATCTTCCTCTTGTTTCTTGAAGGTTCTGATGAAATTAACTCCACCTTGTGGCTGCGGGACACACAATGCATATTAAGTCATAGAGTCATAGAGCTGTCCAGGCCGGAAGGGACCTCCAAAGGTCATCTAGTCCGACCCCCCCACAGTCAGCAGGGACACCCCCAACTAGACCAGGTTGCCCAGGGCCTCGTCGAGCCTCTCCTTGAAATATCTCCAGGGAAGGGGCCTCAACCACCTCCCTGGGCAACCTCTTCCAGTGCTCCACCACCCTCACAGTGAAGAACCCTCTCCTCATCTCCAGTCTAAATCTGTTCCCCTCCAGCTTAAAGCCGTTGTCCCTCGTCCTGTCACTACAGGCCTTTCTAAACAGGCTCTCCCCAGCCTTCCTGTAGGCCCCCTCAGGTACTGGAAGGGGCTCTAAGGTCTCCCAGAACCTCCTCTTCTCCAGGCTGAACAACCCCAGCTCCCTCAGCCTGTCCTTGTAGCAGAGGTGCTCCAAGGTGCTCCCCTGATCATCCTTGTGGCCCTCCTCTGGACCCTCTCCATCAGGTCCATGTCCTTCTTATATTGAGGGCTCCAGACCGACAGATAACACCCAGAAAATTGTGGAATTAGTGGAATTACCATTTTGCTTCATTAAATATCCCAGCTTAGTACCTGGTGGTAGATAAATTCTGCCTTGTGGACATTTTTAATCACCTTGCCCTGTCAATACTCTGGTTTGCTCCTTTTCCCTTCCTCCTCCGTTACCACAAAGATTTGGAGCAGAAGGGAAACTTGATCCCTCTCCCATAAAACTCTTTCAGGGTGGGAAGGTCTATCACCATTCCGTGGTTTGAACGTGCAAATTCCTCAGACTCAGCAGAAAATCTGTATTCTTGCTCATGGGCCATTGCCAACTTGTCAGAGTTCAAATAAAATCCATTTTAACAAGGAGATGGGCTTATCTATCGTTTCCCGTGAGATCTTCTCCCACCACAGAATCCCTCAAGGGGCTCTTGGGAAATTTGGGCTTTAGTTTGGTCTTTTCCCTTCCCCACCTAGGAAATAAGGAGGATCCTATCCATCCCATCCCATCATACAGACCTTTAATGCTCTGGCTGCTACGTCCTCTGGGGTAGAGAAGAAGGCGTCGTCTACATCCAAGGTCTGCAGTTCTTCGTGCGTGGTGAAAAAGAGCAAGAACAAACAGTCTTCAGATCCTACGTTCTTCACCCAATGCACAGTGTTTCTAGGGAAGAAGATGACTTGACCAGCTGTGACGTTGTAGGTGGTAACCACGCTGTTGTCTGCACCGATTACTCCGATCCAGGCAGAGCCCTGTAACAGAATCAGAGCTTAACGAGCGTAACGAAAGTTTCCTCGTGTAATCCGCACGCGGCAAATTGGTAACTCAAATAACCCGAAGGCTGTTAGGAGAAAACACATCCTGATGCACTCTCTAATAAGCTTTTGTGAACTTAAATCCAGAATAGCATTTTAGAAGCTTTAAAGAACACGTGACAAATACACCTTGCTCGTAATTAAACCACTTCTTATCAAAGAGGCTGTGAGCAGCTATAAAGGGGTCATCTTTGACCAAAAACTGCTGGAGAGAGGAGCAGGTGTCTGTGGAAAGCCTTACTCCAAGGGTAATGGAGTAACTGTGCAAGTAACAACATTCAACAGTAGATTTCAAGCACCTCCACTTGAAAATGTTATTTCAAGCAAGAAAACTAATGTCATACATCAATGGTAATTCTGCTTTTATTACCTGTTAACATTTATATATAACGTATATGTCATTTTTTCTTTAAATACGTACATCTTCTATGTATACATGATGCTTTAGATTGCAAAACCAATTAAGAAAGCTGAACTAATCAGAAAATACCTGTGCCAGGTAGCCATGTTCGTTGGCATTGAAATGCCAGTGGGGAGCCCGAAGCCCGTTGCTCTTGATCCGGAGGGTTCCAAAAGTCATTTTGGAGCGATGGTTATTGATACTTCTCCCAAATACCATTTCTTCATCACTTTGATATTCATTTACATCATTCCTGTATCTTGCCCACTGAATTTCCCCACCTGGGTACTTATGAACCTGTAAATTTCGTGAGAGTGGAGAATTGTGTTAATTGGAGACGCTGATGAACAAACATTACAATAATATTTTAGAAAATTCTTGGTCTGGGCAATATTGGAGGGATCTATTCCTTTTTTCAGTGAGGATTCTCTCAGTATTTTAGTCACTTTTCACCATCATTTACTGGGCAATATTGGAGGGATCTATTCCTTTTCTCAGTGAGGATTCTCTTGGTATTTAGTCACTTTTCACCATCATTTTTATGCTTTCTCATGATGTCATAAAATTTTCTTCTACAAACCAGAGATAAATAGTGAAATCAAGAACAAAATTATCTGCCCCTCCTCTTTTTATGTCATTCTGGACTTTGATTTGGCAAATCAGTTACGTATATGCTTAAATTTTTAGATTCAAAACAACTAGAACATCACCTGAGTAGTTCAGGAAATCACTCAGTAATTCAGGAATTCCTGAGTAATTCAGAAAATCATGAATTTCTACAGTTCCAAACTATTTACACCCAAAACCATTCCTTTCCCAGTATTTTTACTGCCTCTAGAACATACTTTGTACTTGAAAGAATCATCTTGCGCTGAGGAAGGGCACATAAAAAGGGTTGCTCTCCTCTTAAACACTTTTCTTTCCATTCTTAAACACAATTTTTGTTTGAAAACGGATTCCATAGTCAAATCTAACATGAAAGAGTATCAGAATTTGGCTGTTGTCAATTTTAAGTGCTCTATTAGCTAATCTATCCTTATGAAAAGCAAAAAAATAGTTAGGAAATTTTTTTTTATATAAAGATATATTTAGGAGATGGAGTACGTCTTTCGAGGATATCGAAGGATATTTTTCACTAAGTACCAAAATACACCTAAAGAAAACCCTACATCATTCCTGTAATTTATTACATTGTCAAACAATTTCTTTTAACTCCCTGAAACAAGACCATGGAGTTCATTTTTTCTTGCAACTTAAGAACTTGTTTGAATCCAGTCCTAAGAACAGAAAGGTTAGTGCACTACTCAGCTTACGTTAAGATTTGATCTTTCTGGCTTTGTTTCTCAGCGTTTCATCCTCTCTGATTTCAGAATCACACTTTAAATGGTTGCCTTGTCTCACAAGCCCAATTTGTTGGAGCAATTATTCACCTCCAACATCTGTTAGGAATTGGAGTGAAACCCTATCAGGAACTCTCCATGTGGGTTATAAAAAGCCTGCAGAAGGGGTTTAGAGTGATCACCCAGTGCTTAAAAAAGAGTTGTGAAATTCATTAAACTCCTAGATATGATGCTAGAATATCATTGCACAAAAGAAAACAATTTACCTTTGAATTCGTCACGTGGTTCAGGAACTGGAATTTGATATCCACATCTTTTTCCTCTGGTTTTGGGGAAGATGTTCCATCGTCTTTAACGACCGTCTCTCTGATAAAGGGAACGTGGTTGACGTAGACCAAGGAGAGGACCAGCACTCCGATCACGGTGGTGATAACACAGGCCAAGAGACAAACTAGAAAGACTTTCATTAAGGACCACCTGCTGTTCCTTTCCTGAAATTCATTTAAAAAAAACAACAAAAAAAGCAGAAAGCTTTATCAGATCCAGTGCAAAAGGAGAAAGTTCGTGATAGTTCTTGTGCAATCAAAAAGAGGATGTCTTTCAGGAACACAGGTATAGCCAAATTACTGGGCCCAGAAGAAGGAAATCTTATGGTTTTATCAGATTATTGCTGTCCTTTCATTATTTCCTTTCCCTTAACCTGTTTTGCTGCTGAAATTGCAGCCTCAGATGAATAGAGACTGCATCCTCTAGTCCAAATTTTTAAACTCTGTACTGATTCTAGGTGGCACAGCCTTTAAAAGCCTGATTTTTCAGATGGTGAGCACCTGAAAATGAGCTATGAATCTTGATCTCTTAAGCTGGACAATCAGTAATGAAAAAAAATTGAAGATTACTAGATGATTTTAACAAAACGCTCTTTTTTCATGCATCTATTTGACAAAAGCTCTTTAGAAATACTTTTCTCTTGCCAGCAGAAAAGTGCTCAAAACATCACCCTATTCTGTTCGTTAATAATCTTTTCTTCAGCTTAAATGCCTCCCTTTTTAAAGCTTGTGTTCAATTAAATATCCCAACAGTAGTACTCAGACCACGGAGACTCATCAGCGAACAAGGCTTTAGAGTTAATGCATTCGAAATCCCCATTTTCCAGACTTGAAGGAGCTTTAATTTACAGCGTTTTCGCAGCGGTGGCACCAATTCAATAATTATTTTTGAAGTCGAAAGAACGTTGGGCATATTACATAGAAATAACTAATACAGAACATGCAACCACGTGGAGTGAGTTCTGTTGCAAGGATGAGCTGCCAACTCTTATTGCATGAAGTTAATTCAAATCCTGAGAAGGAAAAACTTTAATGGGAAAATTACCGAGAATTACTTTTCTCAAGGGCAAAAAAAAAAAAAGAAAAGAAAAGATGAAACACTAATGTGTAACTCATTAGAGATACTAAACCTTACCATAAGATGAGCTTTTAAGTAGCTCTTTCTATTAAAATCACTGGGGAATCCTCCGAAGATAATGACTTTGTCCAGTAGTTACAGGATAAAGAATTTAACTTTTAACTTAAGAGGGGTCGAGGAATTACATCTCACAGTTCAGCTCCTGCCTAGTGCACACAGAACTAAGTGGTTTAAGACCTTTTATTTTCTTCAGGGCCTTCTTAATAGTATTGGATTAAGTCAAGAAAAATGACTGGTACCTCTTTCCTTGGCCACTCTGTTCCTTTCGAAGATTTTTGTATGTTCTCTCCGTACATTTCAAATGCCTGGTTATCCATTTAGCAAAGCTGAAATAGATGAGTGCAGAGAAGATTAAAAAAAAACAACCCAAAACATTAAACCAAAAGACTGTTAATTCCAATATGTGCTCAGTTATGTTAGAGAGTCCAGGGAAGTGTTAGAGAGTCCAGGGAAGTGACTCATCTTCTTCTGGGCAGTATCACTAATGATATTTAGCGCAGAACCATCGTGCAGAAACGTGATGCAACACAAAAAAACTCTTCTTCGCTAAATTACGACAGAACGGTCAATTTCCACATTGAGACTTAACATTATTCACGTATCACATGAACCCTACGACACGACACGGCAAGGAGATAGAAACTGAAACATCAAATACCTGGGGCAAAAAACAGCAGGGGTCATCAAGTTCCTTTACCTCTGCTTAGCACCTAATCTATTTAAATTACAGTTTTGCCTGGTTGAGCAATCTACTTCCACAACCACAAAAACGGTTGAGGTTCCAGAACTTCTTTGGCAACCCCTTTGCCTGCTTACACGTTATTATTGTTAAAAAGGTTTTCACAAGCCTAAATCACTCTTGCTGCAGCAGAACTGTTACATTTTACCCTCCTAACTACATAGGAAATGCCCTACGGGATGAGACCAACAGTACATCCAGCCCAGTGTGTCCAAGAGGACTTTAGGAAATGATAAAGGAGAGCACACACTGGCTGATATTTTCAGGATACAACTTTCACGCTTCACAAGCACAAGTAACTGTTGGAAGAGAGATGCTAGAGGGAATAGCCTCTTCCCTTTAGATTTCATTCCATGAAAAACTCCCTGGCTTTGTCCAAGTCTTTTCTGAACCTGCCGATGCTCCCTGACCTCCTAAATTTACTGCTTGCAGATTAAAACAAAGACCACTTCTCAGTCCTAAAAACATCTCCTTTAAGGCCTCCTACGTTTCTGTATTGTGGGATTTGAGCAACATCAAACACACCTTCCCCTCTCCAGCTGAAGGTCTGAGCCTTTTCAGGCTGTCCTTGTTGGGCAGCTCTTCTATCTCCATGAGTACTTCAGCTGCTCCTTTAACTCCACCACTTTGTGAAAATAAAGAAAAGCAATTTATTTCATTGTTAACTGCTCTCCACCCTAAAAATCACTAAATAGAGACTGTGATTCCTTGACCTGAGGCACACAAGTGTTAAATGTTGCTACCCGGCCATAAAAAGGAAAGTAGGCTTGTGTAATTAAGTGCTTGGAAGACCTCTCTATTTTTTCCCCCTTTCTCATTTCCGTGATATATTCCGTGTTTGATCATGTACTTCTGAACTTTTAGGAAACAGAGGTTAAGCTTTTATTGCCCCATAATTCCTTCTTATCGTTTCGCTGACTTTTTGTTACAAGTTTTGTTGCTAGTCCCATTTTTAGACCACGATGGGACTGGACTGAGCTCTGCCACGTTAGTGATAGCTCCAAGGTTGCTTGGTGTTGATATTGGTAGACATGGTCCACCCAACACCAATATGTTGCATAAGACCCATCAATCACATCATCCCTGTCGTAATCTGAGCTTTGGCCATCACCCGTTGCCGTTGGTGTTGTAAGTCAACGTTCTACTTTTGCTGACATCATTTATTACCCTCTGCAGGGCGGTCATGGGCCAAAATGTTCCTAAGCAATAAGGAACTTTGGGGTTATTTTATTATCTTTGACAGCTCTTCCTCCTTGTCTCTCATTTTGGAGTTTCCAAAAAGCACAAAAGTCCAAGATGACTCATCATTTCCCTTACGCCTCCTTGTAGACCATTGAGGATCACAAGACATACAAAATTTATTTTCACTTTTCATATATTAGGATATCCAGCATCATCAGCTTAAATATATGGATTTTTATGAACTGCCAAACTCCTGAGCACTTTTTTCCTTGACTTTTTTCATAGGCAAAAAGCACAAAAGTCCAAGATGACTCATCATTTCCCTTACGCCTCCTTGTAGACCATTGAGGATCACAAGACATACAAAATTTATTTTCACTTTTCATATATTAGGATATCCAGCATCATCAGCTTAAATATATGGATTTTTATGAACTGCCAAACTCCTGAGCACTTTTTTCCTTGACTTTTTTCATAGGATTTTTCAAACAGATCTTTGAAGTTCTTGTGTAGTTGCTTTTTTTCCCATTATTCCTCTTTTGCCATTCTAATTATCTTGAAAACCTTGTAAGAAAATTCTTGTATTAAACTTCACCTGATATCATCCTAGTCTAAAAATACCCTGGATACTCTCTATTTAATTTATTTTTCCCAACAACTATTTGGTTAACTAGCATCTCCTCAAGGCAAATTATTCTTGTTGACCCAATATTTTGAGTAAGGACCCAAAAATTCAGAACCGCGGCAGATCACAGAATCCACAATCAGCAAGAAAGAAAATATACATCATGATTTTCAAGGATTTCACAATTCCAGATAATTGTACTTAAGTGAGAATCCATCAGCATCTCTTGGAGAAAAAATACAACTGCTCTGGCCGTGTCGGAGTTACAAAGGAAAATAATTAATAGGTTGATAATGAGCAAGCGTGGGGTATGTAGTTTTTCAGGTCCTCTTTTTCAGACTAAATCAGGTATAAAATCTAGCCAAATTAACCCTCCGCTGGCAGCACTGTTAGTCTTCATGATATCTGGAGCCTGAAATTAATTTTTCCTATATCAGCACCTTTTTTAGTCAGAATGTGAATAGAATAGAGCCACGCAGAGAGATTTGCTAATGCAGATGGACTGTTACAGAAGAAGAGATAACTGCAACATACACTCATTCCATTCCAAAACCAGTATCACTATGGTCTTTCTCATTAAGCCTTTAAAAGGCAAAAAAAAAAACCCCAGAGAGAAATCCCATCTATTTTCCTCCCACCATGCAAAGCCACAGTCTTACCACAGATGGGATCCTCAGGAGATTAAAGAGCACGATGCTTCCCTGTATCTACGCCTCTACTTCCCTCAGCCCTGTTTTACTGATATATATACAGGCTAATTCAGGAAGTGCCCTACTGGTAAAAGATTTCCTGTATATGCAAATACAGAGGGTCACAAACACTTGGGTACATCCTTAGCAAACAATTCTTGTACCCTGCTGAGAAATAGTGACTCCCCTTCTATCTAGTCCTGCTATTTTATTTCAGTATTTCCTCCAAATCCCAGTCTCTGGCTTTCTGCCTGCATTTTCACTTTTCCCCACTGCCACTTTGGAAGACTGTAGTTCCATAAAATTCCCTTCCTCTGATCTAGCCTCAAGGACAAGAATATCACTGACACCTTGGATATGGCAAATAATTTTGTTTAGTACTTGATTCACATATTCTGTTATTTCTCCTGAGTGGCAACTTCTTTATTCTCATTTCTAGGCAAATTAAATTCCAGCTAGAACTGCAAAAACTGACCAGCACGTACAACCAGAAAGTTAATTATTTTTTTTGATATATAAGGGATCAAATCCCTCTTTAAAATAGTCTTTAATGGCCAGAAAAATCTTGATAGCATCTAAAAAAAAATATATCTATATGCAAAGCCAGTTGTCTCCCCTTACTGGCTAATGGTGTTTTGTTTTTTTTTTTTTTTTAATTCTATTCTTATTTGAATTGCTATTATTTACAATTACACAGTGTAACTCATTTATTGCTTAGTTTCATAGCCTTAAGGTTCTTTTATCTTGTGCAGTACTGTACCTCACACAGCAGACCTTATCTATGGTCAAAGCTTTTCAGACCTGGCCAGTATATGAATATTCAATAATGTCAACAAGACTTTTAGCTGTTACTTAGGTCTGCCTGTCATAAAACCCCCAAAAAGTTGTGCTGAAATTCTCCATCAAAGCACATTAAGCTGATAGAGGAGAAATATCTGGAGGCTAATAAAAATAAAAGCTCCAAAGAATGAGGAATCTGACAAATATGAACATCCCTCGAGGGGGGAATAATGAAAAAGACTTTCTAAATAGCACACGAGCTCTACCTGAACATCAAGAGAAGTTCTAAGGGAGCAGGGGGGCTTTACATTTGTTGTGTAAAAGCAGAGCAAATTCATTGTCATCCACACTCAGACACGTGTGATGTCAGGAAAACCCTCATGTTCCCTTGCATATCTGAATGCTTTTGCATTGTCATCCACACTCAGACACGTGTGATGAACCCTCATCTTCCCTTGCACATCTGAATGCCTTTACACACAGCAGACCTTATCTATGGTCAAAGCTTTTCAGACCTGGCCAGTATATGAATATTCAATAATGTCAACAAGACTTTTAGCTGTTACTTAGGTCTGCCTGTCATAAAACCCCCAAAAAGTTGTGCTGAAATTCTCCATCAAAGCACATTAAGCTGATAGAGGAGAAATATCTGGAGGCTAATAAAAATAAAAGCTCCAAAGAATGAGGAATCTGACAAATATGAACATCCCTCGAGGGGGGAATAATGAAAAAGACTTTCTAAATAGCACACGAGCTCTACCTGAACATCAAGAGAAGTTCTAAGGGAGCAGGGGGGGGCTTTACATTTGTTGTGCAAAAGCAGAGGAAATTCATTGTCATCCACACTCAGACACGTGTGATGTCAGGAAAACCCTCATGTTCCCTTGCATATCTGAATGCTTTTGATAAAATGAGCTCTGGCAAAGAGATATGCTTTATAAAAGCTTCTACAAACTTGTTGGAAAGGCAATTTCATTTTCCACACTCTGATTTCAGATCTAGCTCTTCGCATTTTGGGGTTTAGGATGGACTTTAGGAAAAGTTTCTTCACCATAAGGGTTATTGAAGATTACAACAGGCTGCCAAGGGAAAGGGTTGAATCACCATCCCTGGAGGAATTAAAAAAAATAAATGTGCTGAGCGACATGGTCTAGTGGGTCTTTTGTGAGTGTTGGGTTGATGGTTGGACTCAATGACCTTAACGGTCCCAATCCAACCCAGCCAATTCTATGATTCTAAGGCCAATAAAATCTGTCTGAAATACATTATTACACCTTACTTATGACCTATGTTCTCATGATGCCATGCCAGTCAGGCAATGAAGTCATTTCTTATCTCTCTACTTACTAATTCTTAACAGGAAGACGAGAGAAATACACAGCTCATCTTCCTTCTGCTTCTTCTGGTTTCTATTATGCCTCTCACAATCAGTATGTGCTCAGGTACCTGCTCTGTCAAGTGTATCTATAAATATCCAGATTAAAAACAAACGGTTCACTGGAATGGCACGTCGCCCTACGTATTTTGTTTACTGGCAGCCTAAAATGCCAGGCTGCATTATACAAGCCTGAGAAGAGGTGCAAAAAAGAGTCTTCCAAAAATGTTCTGTCAACGCATTTCCGCTCACAACTCAAATTTCTACTTACAGCTTCTCTCTTTGCCCCTCGCTTTGCTGTTGGTAAAGGGGGTAAGTCCTACTCCTCTCTCCCCTGTGCGATTCCCAGTGCTTATCAGTGGCCTTCATGAGCTAATTCTACTCAATTATGCTGAAAAAAAATAAAATATTCTATTACTTCTTTGGCTATTTAAGCCCCCTGAAGGATTTTATATGCTCTAAAACTAAGAAGCAAGGCAAGGAAAAAGGAAGGGAGATTAGGACTTCCCAGTACCAGTGAGAACCAGCTGTGGGACCAGTTACTGCTGAGCATTACACAAGGTATTGAGCTCCCCCTGTTTCTAACAGACCATGTAACGAAGCGATGACTAGAATTGGCCAAATAGTTCAGGTTTTTGGTAAATTTTTATAAACACGCAGAGATTCTTCCACAAAAATGTTCACATTATTTTAATTAAATATTCTTTAAAAAGCAGTATCTCTTGTCACATAGTTAGATTCTCCTGGAAGCACTAACACTCAATTAAGCCTTGAAATAATTAATGAAAACAACAATTATGTACAGAAACACCAAAGACAACATTTACAAGAACATGCACTGGTTCAGCTTTCAAAAAAAAAAATAATGTGAGCAGTGTTCAGGCTGACAAATTACATAAGTTACACAACATGAAAATATTCTTAGATATCAGCTTCCCAAATGAATCTTTTTTTCTTGTTTATCTTCTTCATGATCATGGGTCTGCTCTTCTCGGTTGCTGTTATCTTCAACAAGTCTTTTGAGACATGACAAATGATGTAAAGCCCTAGATTAGGAAAAAAAGTTGACTTTAAGACTGTATATCTAACTATTCAAAAGAATTAAATACTATTTAAAATTATATTGATTTCTTACAAACAGCTTAACAGTCTGGATAATATTATAAAAAGCACAGATCAGAAAATACACTAAGGTTTTTTTTAAAAGATAAACCACTTAAACTGAAATTTGAAATAAGTCTTCTCAATACAGGTGCTTACACAAACACAGTTTCTGTGAAATTATTATAGAATGAGTATTCAACACAGGATCTTAAGCACTGCAAAACATTAGGCATAAAATAGCACATCAAAACTGAAAGATACTGTTTTTTTAAATTAAAAAATATTTTAACTTTATATTGCAGTATAAAACTGTACTGCAATGCTGAGTTTTGTGAAACAAAAGTTCTACATAATAAAACCAGGTTTTCTATTCTGCCTTTTCTCAAACTTGTTATTTCTTTAGTCACTTATTAGTTATCTTTAGTTCAGTAGGTGTCAGCTGATTTCATTAACAAAATATGTTTTCTAGCAATTATTTTCTCTGCCATAGTCAAAAAAAACCAAGAAAATATTTTGTCCCATATTACAAACTTCTCCAAGTCCAATTATTTTAAAGCCCATCTACGTGTAGCAGTAATTAATCTATAGATGAAATACAAATGGTTATTTACAGGGTACATCTCTGCAACCAGCCACTAGATATTTCTCTGCTCCGTGAACGGTCATGGTTTTAATTATTTACTACTGGCTTATTCTTAACATTTTCAGATCATATGACAAGTCTCAGCTAATTTATCATTCTTTTCCTGGAAGGAGGGAAAACTCAGAAAACCAACTGTCACTTACTTCTGAATAGAATTAGTCAGAGGGTTTCTCTCACTGTCACACAGGTTTAATTCAACCTCTGCTTTTTCAGTAAGCTTAAAAAAACAAACAAAACCATTGTTAATTTAGGGAAGGAAAAGTAGCTGAATATGACAGAAAACATGGACTTTTTTTAGCACATTGTATTGAAAAGTATTGCCAAGAACTTTATAGCATCATTAAGTGATTCAGGTTGGGAGGAGGACCTCAGGAGGTGGGCTCCTCCTCAATGCAGAGGGAGCTTTGAGGTTACAGCAGGTTGCTCGGGGCTTTATCTAGTCAAATCTGAAAAACCTTTGAGGATGAAGAAGGCACAACCTGTCCTGAACAACTTCTTCCAGTGCTTGGCTTGTCTTCAGGGTTAAAAAGTTTCTCCCAGTGTCCAGTGTGAACCTCCCAGTTCAATTTATGCCTGTTTCTCATCCTTCCACCATACCCTCCTCATGGGTAGAGGAAGACTTCTATCGGTCCCTGAAAACCTTCCTCTTCTCCAGCCTTGCCAAGCTCAGTTCTCCCAGTTCTCCCAGCTCAGCCAAGTGCTGTGGCCTTACCCAGCCATCCCCAGCCTCTATGGCTGCAATGGGTTCTTCCTTCCCAAATTCCTCCCCTTGCATTTGCCCCTGTTGAATTTCCTGAGGTTCCTCTCAGCCCATTCCCAGAGCCTACCTGATCCACACATACCCGGAGCCTTTCATTCACTACTGAGTAAAGAACATAGGGTTTGAGGACTGTATGCAAGCAACATTATGAAAAAGGTAAAAAGTGATAATAAAAATCTATGAAGTCGCTTTGAAACAAAAGTGCCACAAAACAGCAACTCACTGATGCCAAAGGAGGTAAGGAGAGAGCATTTGAGAACGTCTGGCTTTTTAAAAAAAATATAGTAAGTGCCCCTGAAAGCCTAGAATTAACAGGGATATTATCAGAAAACAACTTTTCCAGAACTCAGGTATTTTTCCAAAACTCAGGTTTTTCAGAACTCAGCAGAGTCTTGCTTTCCTCGGACAGGATTTGCCTGAAATGTCGCCATCTCCTGGTTACAAATCCTGCTTTTTGCAGCACTTGCAGAGGCCACTGTCACCGACCTGTCTGTCACACAGCGTCCCTGCCAAGAGGAGAGGCACAGAGCCTCAAGTTTGAGACAGCAGCAAGACACAGGGGCTGTAGGGCACAGCTCCTCCTGCAAACTGGAGTCAATCTGCTGGCAGTGCTCTAAGATGGAAACCAAAGCCTATCAAAAGGACTATCAAGTTTTATCAGCAACAAACACAGCCCATTGATATCAGCAAGATAATAACATAAGGAAACAGACTGCTCACTTTTTCCACCTCTTCCTTTACCTCAGCAGTTTCATTCTGGCTTGAACTTCCCTGAATTGCTTGAAGTTCAAACAACATCCGCTTCAAAGCTTCGAGGGGTCTGGCATGATAACCTCCACAGAAGGCATTTTCCTAAACCAAAACCAAAACGTATTAATCAGTTGATACTGCGTATAAAACAGAACAACCCAGTTTTGAAGTTTCCCTGAAACAAGTTAAAGGCTGATTTCTATGAGCATTTCCCTCTACCTATTCTTTATTTTATAAATCGGACCAATACGGTTCATCTCAATTTATGCCAAGGTATGGTCTGTGAAATCACTGTCAATACTTACAGCATTTCCCTCTACCTATTCTTTATTTTATCAATTGTACCAATATGGTTCATCTCAATTTATGCCAAGGTAATACTTAAATTATTAGGAAGAGTGAAGCCTTGTGTAAAACAATTCAAGAATATTTAGACTGTCAGTTCTTGCAATGCTATGACAGCAGCGCTGAACATATTTCAACATTTCCTAACTGACAGAGCAAGTAAGCTTCCTTAATGATAAACATGGATTTATTCATATAATTAGCATCTATGTGATATCTCCTCATTCTATAATCAAAAAAGCAAATTAACTCAAGGTGACAAAAATTTGTGGATAATCTAGAAATACTTCTGTATAGAAGTGTCTGGTGATCTAACAGAAGCAAGAGAGCAGGGAGCATGAAGGATGAAATACAGTGAAGCAACATTCATCAGACAGAATAATTTCAATTACTCCTGCACATCATTAGGTTTTGTGTCAATTAACTCCTTAGGGAAACAGAAGTATGTGCCACAGTGGAAAAAAAACTTAAAGGATAATGCTCTGTTTACTACAGGATGGGAAAACAGAATTTTAGAGCAGTTAAGATTCAAGGACAATGGGGCAGAAAGGAAAGACACCAGTACATCAATGAACAGTATGGGCTCTGTGCTCACCTCCCGAGCTGAGAAAAGGATAAAGGGTTCATATAATCAAAATGAGAGACTGAACAATATTAAGACTGTCAAGAAGGCAATTAATATGTAAGAATGGGAATAAAATAATGAATAATCAAAAGTAAATTTCATCCACAATCCAATTCCAGTGCAAATACATCAATGAACAGTATGGGCTCTGTGCTCACCTCCCGAGCTGAGAAAAGGATAAAGGGTTCATATAATCAAAATGAGAGACTGAACAATATTAAGACTGTCAAGAAGGCAATTAATATGTAAGAATGGGAATAAAATAATGAATAATCAAAAGTAAATTTCATCCACAATCCAATTCCAGTGCAAAAGCATAAATAACAAGAAAGATATTCCTTAAGTTACCTCTTGAAGTTGACTCTTACCCAACAGTACATCAGCCAGGCTAGGAAATCAGTAGTAAAGCAAATTAACTCAAGGTGACAAAAATTTGTGGATAATCTAGAAATACTTCTGTATAGAAGTGTCTGGTGATCTAACAGAAGCAAGAGAGCAGGGAGCATGAAGGATGAAATACAGTGAAGCAACATTCATCAGACAGAATAATTTCAATTACTCCTGCACATCATTAGGTTTTGTGTCAATTAACTCCTTAGGGAAACAGAAGTATGTGCCACAGCAGAAAAAAAAACTTAAAGGATAATGCTCTGTTTACTGCAGGATGGGAAAACAGAATTTTAGAGGAGTTAAGATTCAAGGACAACGAGGCAGAAAGGAAAGACACCATCAATGAACAGTATGGGCTCTGTGCTCATCTCCCGAGCTGAGAAAAGGATAAAGGGTTCATATAATCAAAATGAGAGACTGAACAATATTAAGATTGTCAAGAAGGCAATTAATACATAAGAATGGGAATAAAATAATGAATAATCAGTAGTAAATTTCATCTACAATCCAATTCCAGTGCAAGAGCATAAATAACAAGAAAGATATTCCTTAAGTTACCTCTTGAAGTTGACTCTTACCCAACAGTACATCAGCCAGGCTAGGAAATCAGTAGTATTTAATACATCAATAATAAAAAATATATTATTCCTTTACTTGAGGCAGGAAAATTATACATATATAACAAAATATGGAGTGTAAAAGACAAACTAAGCAGAGCATTTTATAGTTGGATGCTTCCTTAATCATAGTTGTGACCAAGGGTTAGATTATAGGATTTAATAATTGTATGGATTCATCATGCTCAAATATGACTGAGCTACTGCACCTAGACTTTCTACTTGATATATTATAGAAGGAAAACCAATTTACAGGTGTTTCCCCTTCTAGTATTTACTGGTCTTACATATTTTGGGCACTCAGAAATAAATACCCCTTTTTACTCACCTTATTTTTGTCATTTAAGCAGTCTTCCAAGAATTTATGGATGATGTCTGCCTTGGGGAATGGTAGGGCATTCTCCATGTCCTCACAGCACACAGGCACTGGTGCTTTGCTAAACCAACATTAAACATGCAATTAAGGATAAGAAGAGGTTTATAAACTAAAAGAATTGTTTTAGGATATAGTTATTATGATGAAACCAGGTATCTTGCATCCCTGTAACACCAAGGGGACACTGAGTAGTCCTGTCAGCGCTTTGGTGTACGCGAGACACAACTATGGTTTCCAGTTTAGCCAGTATAATCAAAACCTGGGTAGCCATAAAACTCAACTAAATAAAAAAGGCAAGGAAAGGACTTCTCAGCTGTGATTTATTACACATGGAAGTTTTTCTTGTATCTCGTATTCCTCCATTAGTCAACATCTAAATAAATAGCAGCTGTGATTTATTACACATGGAAGTTTTTTTTGTATCTCGTATTCCTCCATTAATAGTCAACATCTAAATAAATACATAAAAAAGGCAAGGAAAGGACTTCTTAGCTGTGATTTATTACACATGGAAGTTTTTCTTGTATCTCGTATTCCTCCATTAGTCAACATCTAAATAAATAGTTGCCTTCTGCTTACTGACCTCTAATTCTTCTACAGTCTCTAGGGTATCTTAAATTAAAGTTAATAGTCTCGTAGAAACAGATATTAATGAAAGCTGATTTCCAGTGATTCTCCTATGTAAGCATTCTGGTGGCCAGCAGGAGATTAGATGATTAGCCTCTTTCTCAACAGGAGCAAGAATAGTACTGCTTCTATTATCACGTGCAGGTATCCTGCAGTTTGAGACTTCCACTCACCTGATAAACGTTGCAAAAATTAAGCAACAGTTCAAAATCTTCTGGGGTAAAGGGAAGCTGACAGACAACACCCAGAACCACATACACCCGGCTGCTTCTTAAAAACTGTAGGAAATTCTAGTATAGATTCTTAGCTTTCTTTCATCCTGTGAAATAACTATTAATCATTAACTAATAAATCTGTCAATTTAAGTTCCACTTAAATTTTTCCCTTGAAATAAATATTTCTTATATATCATCAATATACAAAGATATTATTAAATGGCAACAATAAGAAATATTGACAGCATTCTTTGCAAGTCAATGAAAAAGGGAAATAGCAAACATTTAAGAATTAGAAATGGGATACCAAGTCCTTCCTTTACGCACATGGTACATCACTATATAAAAGCAACTAAATACATTATGCATTTTCAGAACAAATTAGTTGTAAATACATGATCACTTACAAAGCACCTGGAGCATTCTCCCATGACCTCTCTGCTCCTAGAATATCTGTTGTGGAAGGACTGCCATCATTTTCCAGAGTATGGGACAAATCTTCTGTTGAACTCTCCAGACCTCTGTCAGCCTTCAAGGTAAGCAGCTCGAGGGGGTCTTCTAAAAAACAAGGACACGATGTGGATGAGCCTCCCCAAAGGCATTATTTCCACATTACTTTTAATTTTATGTAATAAAGACAATTACTACAGATGAATTAGCACTGAAAATATCTTACAGAGAGTATAGCCCCAACACAACTCCTTTGGTTATTTTGGTACAGCATGAAAACCATCAGCACCATCAGGTTCTAGCCAGAAAAGTATTTAAAATAATCAAGCATTTCTTTTCCTAACTTATGTAAAACAAGTATCATATGCAGCATTCAAGACTATTTAATGTTTTTAATGTGCTTCCACGCTATAGAAAATATAATTATTAATTCACAATATGATGTTAAATATTACTTTTTAATACTGTAAGTTCTTAGGCTAGTTTTCTTATTATTTAGTATATATATATTTTTAACAGCTATTTTTCCAGACACCTGGGAGAGAAATCATGCAACACAGACATGCAAATCACATACAGGGCTCATTTAAAAATAGTTTAAGACAAGCACTCAAAGCAACAAAATATAGTCTCATATTTTTTTTTTAAACCTAGATTGCTCATGATTGGTAATATTTTCTGTGTGAAATAGTTTAAGACAAGCACTCAAAGCAACAAGATATATTCTCATATTCTTTTTAAATAGCCTGCTCATGATTGGTAATATTTTATGTGTGAAAAAAAAGATATAATCCTGTAAAGTTCATAATTCATATACAATAGAAAGGTATTTGCAGACATTCATGTATGAGGCATTTTGTTGCTTTGAATTCACAACATAAACAACATTTTAACTTAGTTTTTTTATATATAACCTCTTGGAAAAAGGGCAATATCAATATTTCTGCTTTGCATAACAAAGAAAAATATTTCTCTTATAAAATGAATAAACATAAACAACATTTTAACTTAGTTTTTTTACATATAACCTCTTGGAAAAAGGGCGATATCACTATTTGTGCTTTGCATAACAAAGAAAAAATACTTCTCTTATAAAATGAATACAGGTAATTAACACTTTGAAATGTTAAGCTCTCAAATCTTGCTGATATTTCAGAATACAAAGGTGGTACTTAACGATGGGAGGACCTCCCTGCTCCTGCTGCAAAACAGGAGATTCCCAAGGAAAGGCTTTACATGAACTGAAGGCACTGGATCACCTAAATATATGAGTTACAAATATCTCCCGCAGGAAATTCTAGTATAGATTCTTAGCATTCTTTCATCCTGTGAAATAACTATTAATCATTAACTAATAAATCTGTCAATTTAAGTTCCACTTAAATTTTTCCCTTGAAATAAATATTTCTTATATATCATCAATATACAAAGATATTATTAAATGGCAACAATAAGAAATATTGACAGCATTCTTTGCAAGTCAATGAAAAAGGGAAATAGCAAACATTTAAGAATTAGAAATGGGATACCAAGTCCTTCCTTTACGCACATGGTACATCAGTATATAAAAGCAATTAAATACATTATGCATTTTCAGAACAAATTAGTTGTAAATACATGATCACTTACAAAGCACCTGGAGCATTCTCCCATGACCTCTCTGCTCCTAGAATATCTGTTGTGGAAGGACTGCCATCATTTTCCAGAGTATGGGACAAATCTTCTGTTGAACTCTCCAGACCTCTGTCAGCCTTCAAGGTAAGCAGCTCGAGGGGGTCTTCTAAAAAACAAGGACACGATGTGGATGAGCCTCCCCAAAGGCATTATTTCCACATTACTTTTAATTTTATGTAATAAAGACAATTACTACAGATGAATTAGCACTGAAAATATCTTACAGAGAGTATAGCCCCAACACAACTCCTTTGGTTATTTTGGTACAGCATGAAAACCATCAGCACCATCAGGTTCTAGCCAGAAAAGTATTTAAAATAATCAAGCATTTCTTTTCCTAACTTATGTAAAACAAGTATCATATGCAGCATTCAAGACTATTTAATGTTTTTAATGTGCTTCCACGCTATAGAAAATATAATTATTAATTCACAATATGATGTTAAATATTACTTTTTAATACTGTAAGTTCTTAGGCTAGTTTTCTTATTATTTAGTATATATATTTTTTAACAGCTGTTTTTCCAGACACCTGGGAGAGAAATCATGCAACACAGACATGCAAATCACTTACAGGGCTCATTTAAAAATAGTTTAAGACAAGCACTCAAAGCAACAAGATATATTCTCATATTCTTTTTAAATAGCCTGCTCATGATTGGTAATATTTTATGTGTGAAAAAAAAGATATAATCCTGTAAAGTTCATAATTCATATACAATAGAAAGGTATTTGCAGACATTCATGTATGAGGCATTTTGTTGCTTTGAATTCACAACATAAACAACATTTTAACTTAGTTTTTTTATATATAACCTCTTGGAAAAAGGGCAATATCAATATTTCTGCTTTGCATAACAAAGAAAAATATTTCTCTTATAAAATGAATAAAGGTAATTAACACTTTGAAATGTTAAGCTCTCAAATCTTGCTGATTTTTCAGAATACAAAGGTGGTACTTAACGATGGGAGGACCTCCCTGCTCCTGCTGCAAAACAGGAGATTCCCAAGGAAAGGCTTTACATGAACTGAAGGCACTGGATCACCTAAATATATGAGTTACAAATATCTCCCGCTGTGTAGAGAAAAAGACTGCACAATAAATGGTATTTTTTAACCAATTTGACGGGTTCGTTCGCACTACGTTTAGGAATCTCTCCCCCCTCAAGGTTCACTTTATGTAATTTAATTTCATGCTTTAAATTCTATTAAAATATTTACAGAATTACTGTCATCTTGCAGGAAGGTACTAAATATGTCACTGTAATAAATACTTGGCTGTAAAATAAATGATTAAATATTGATTTATCTGTGAAAGCTTAGAGTATAAAAGCTGTTTAACTTGGTCAAGTATTAATAAGTGCTTTGACTTATTTGTCAAAGACAGGAGTGAATAAATTTACTGTACAGTGCAGCCAGACTAACAGAACTAGAGCATTGGTTTAAAAAAACATGTAGGTCTTTATACACATACTCTCAAAATTAAAGAACAAATAATATCAAATATAGTTACCTCTGAAGGGGTTTTTAGGATGTCTTGAAACAGAGTAGCCAAATGGGAAGGATGCATCACTACCACAGTTGCAACTTTCCTCTACTTTGTTATCACCTCTCAGGTCCAGGCAACCGTTTTGTTCAAAAAAATTCCAACTGTCTTTATCTACAGAGTGTCTTTTTTTCAGGATCTCAAAAGTTTGAGAAGAGGAGGCTTTGCCTTGTGTATTAAAAAGTTGATGATCGCTCTCTTTAGTTGGATCAGAAAAAAGGCTCTTAAGCCAGATTGGGTAGTGATAATTGGGAATACTACTTATCCCCGAGACACTTAAATCAGACTTCTGACTGGTGAGCCACCTTGGATAATTCTTAACAGGCAAAGTGTTAGAGTTCTCCTCAAAAGACAAGGGTCTCCAGCTTCCCTTAGAGGAGGCAGGACTGTGTCTGTGTGGTGTACACACACTGCACTTCTTTTTGCTGAAGTCGTTGTGTGGATTCTGGTGAGCAACAGCTTTCCTGTTCTCCTGGGGACCAAGACTGCTTTGGGTCTTGAGAGAGGAGCTTTGGCAAGGGCAGAAAGATGTTGGAAGTGTCTGTCTTTTCCACTCACTACTTTGATGCCTGGATTTGCAAGGACTAGGCTGGCTAAAGGATCCATCTGCTGGGAAGGCTAACAGGTCATCCGTCACCAGACTGACCGAGTCCAGGTCACACTCGGGCTGCCTTCTAGAGGGTGAAGCAAGAGAACCCAATCCAACCAGCTGATTAAAATCATCCAATGCTGAAAAAACAAAGATATTCTAAATGAATTGCTACACTTCAAGCATAACAAAAGGATATATTTTTAAGATCCAACATGAAGTAACAATTTAAAGCTGAACAATGTTATTTATTTACCAGGGTGTTCTTACAAGAGTGGTTCCATTTCTAATCAGACACCTCACCAGTCGAAAGCTACCCCTCCTTTCATAGCACAAAACATTTGCAGTTTGATTATTTATTGATTATCTATTTTTCTTTAAGAGAAAAAAAAGAAATCGACATCCTACAGCCCATTTTTAGTTGCACATTGTATGTTTTGCAAGTAAGTCTTCAAGTATTTCAGTCCTAGCAGTGCCACTCCTTCCACACAGTAATGTTAGGGATGACATCTCCTATTATTATAAATTAAGCACATTTACGACAGAAAAAGATGGCTAAAAGCAATAGCTTGCAAGGCAATTAGCCAGATAATGGGCCTGAAGACCCATTTTGTGATTCTACAGGAACTCACACACTATATGAGATTCAACTTGGCAGTTTTTCAGAGAATTGTGGCATTAAATCATTATTTTTATTTTTTTTACTGAAACTGTGAAGCACTGATTCATTAAAATAGGTTTTCCTCAGATAGTACACAGAAGTTATTTTTTTCTCACTTTCACAGTCATATCAGTAAGTGAAATCTATATATTGCAGACTATTCTAACATACAAAACATACATATGTGAAAGGAGCTAATGAGCCTTCTGCAAAGAACAGCAACCGAGAAGTTTCAGAGTCAAAATATGAGCAGATGACACCTTAAAACAGTTCCTCATTTTTAGTGATAATCAGAATGCTTATCTTTCTTTGGAAAATCAGTTCAACTTAAGTGGAGTGTTTATATTAGAGAAAATACAAATCAAAAGCTAAGCACAGCTAAAAAATAGCTGCCTTGATAAAAGAAAGAAAAAGGTGTGAAGTTAGAGAAGGTTATAAGCTACAGGGAATTAAAAAAAGCCCTGAATAATAAATTATGCTACTGTACCTCTCCAAACCAATGCAACCCAGGCAAGCATCCTTTTTCAGGTACAAAGCTTGCCAGCACCTCAGACTTCGTTATTTTAGATGTAATGGACAAAAGTTCATATAATCAATTAAATATTTATTTATTCCAGCTGAATAACAATGACAAAAGCCAATTCAAACCCACATACATTACTTCAGACCCAGAACTACATTCCATAAAAGTCCATGGCCAGGAGGCAAATTTTGTTCTAAGACAAGGCAGTGTTTAAAGAAACTCCTTCAATTAATTAGATTCTGATGTTGCTTACTCTGGAAAGGAAATAGGTTTTTCTTTTTCAAGATTTGGGTTTAAGCAATGATTTACTGTGTTTTTAGCATATATTCACATATAGAAAATATAATTTCTATTCCATACTGTGGAGTTTATTATTAGATCTGTGAGTATAGCCACAAATCCTCATCAATCCACCAAGCTTTTATAAAAAAAAGCATAAGAGAGTGACAAATATTCATAGTCATGACCAAGCATCATTTACTACCTCATAAAGACTTGCAAGGAGTTGTGCAGGGAATACTCCTTCAATAACATACACCTGGTGTAAAATGAGGACATGCAATACCATTGGCAATGAAAAAAAAACATTAAAGAAAGGAGCACAGCAAACACCAAAACTTATTAAAAAAGCATATTTGCAAGAGACATACCGTGGGTTTTTTTGGCATGACGCTTTGAAAACTTTACTTGTTTGGGAGTGCTTTGACATATGCAGATTTTTCCAGTGCTTACTTCTGGAGATGTGAGACTTAAATCAAAATCTTCAATATAAGCCTCCAAAGCCTCAGAGGCGGAGCTGTAAAGCTTGTCCTTGTAGTGAATCAAACTGTTTGAGTAGGGGTTATTGCTGTCAGTGCTACAGCTTGTTAAAAGAGAAGACACTGCTGAATCAGGAGAGCTGGCACTGCTTTCTTTTATTGAGCTTGTCATGGTTTTTATCCAGGCTTTTGTTAGAATCTTCACTCATCTTTTTGGAATCTGAACAGAAAAAGATACAAAAGCACAAGTGACCACCTGCACTGAAATGTTTTCATGTAAACTATAACATATCTGAGAATTCTTACTTCTGTAATGCAATTATTATTTTTCTTCTAAAAATACACTATTTAACCATTCAACCTGCTGCTTTTCAAGTAAGTTGAAATGTTTTCATGTAAACTATAACATATCTAAGAACTCTTACTTTTGTAATGCCATTATTATTTTTCTTCTAAAAATAACACTATTTAGCTATTCAACCTGCTGCTTTTCAAGTGAGTTTGTCTGATATATATATATCTGCATCAACCCTAGAAAAGTAGGAGACAGAAAATAATAGCTCTGGGGGAAAAAAAGAAATAACAGGGAAAAATATGTTAAAATTTTAGTAGTAAAAAAAAGTATGAGAGAAAGAAAAAACAGCTCCTCATTAGTTCTAGAGGAACCTCAGTACCCTGCTTTTGCAAGAAGGGGGATTTCACGTAAGAACTGCTGACATTTGTCACCAAATGTACAGTTCAGCAAATACACACAGAAGTATCCTAGCTTTTGATTTCAGAACCAGCAGGAAAGAATAGACATGGACAAAACCAGAAGTAAGAATAACTTAGAGAACATGAAAGACTAGTAAGTCAACGTACCAGGAAAAAGAAGTCATTGCCCTCACAGATATTTTTATATAAGCAGAATGGATACACATAGTAAAAAAGTTTTATGAACACTTAGAACTGTTTTATCTATGCAATTTAGTCTATCTAATCCAAGCTGCCTTTGCAACCCACAAACCATAAATTGAAGAATTGGAATGGCAGGCTTGTTCCAAATGCTGTAATCAAGTCAAGGCCACTAAAACTACCAGCTCTTTCCATCCCTATGGGTAAAACACTATTTGAGAAATTCTTATGGCGATAAGGAACAAGTTTTAACAAGGAACAAAGATTAATAGCTTTGTTCTACCCAATATCGCAAACAAACAAGGATCATCGTGCAGCAACGACATAAAGATTGACACCATTTACATGAAAAAGTCACAGGAGGGAGCAGCTCTTCCAAGGCCGCGGTGATTTGCCCTAGAAAGCCCAGGAACCAGGTTAAGCACCGGCCCAGGCCTCCCGGGACCCCTCCTCACACAACATCCCCAGGAGATGCAGGGTAGGCCCACACGGGTAAAACCCGGCCGCGGCGGGGACCCCCACCTCCCTTTTCCTCACAAAAAATAGCCAGCGCGGGGAAAAAAAGCTGCCGAAGCAGCACAACATGGCGGGGACCCCCACCTCCCTTTTCCTCACAGAAACACAGCCAACACGGGGAAAGGAAGCTGCCGAAGCAGCACAACCCCTCCTCACCACCACGAGGGTGCCCCACCAGCCCATGCCCGCCCGGGAGCCCCGGCCATCCCCACCCCTCACGGCCGCTCCTCCGCGCTTTGGCGCCCAGCGGGTTTTGAAGGCACCGCCGCCCCTTTGCAAAATGGCGGCGCGCAAGCGCAGAGACGGCCGCGCGGCCCGGCGGGAGTTGTAGTCCAAAGCCGGGCGGGAGGCCGTGTCCCGGCCGGACTACATCTCCCGGCATGCCCCGCGGCGGGGAGGCGGGAAGGCGGGGCCGGGTGCAGCTCTTTCAGCGCCGCTGAGGTGAGGTGAGTGGGGGGAGTAGTTATCCTCTTTCCTTCATCCTCCTCCTCTCCCTTCTGCTCTGAGCGGGAGGTAACCCTGCCGCCGCTTGGTCTCTTCTCTCTGTGGGCGAGCGAGGAGGGAGGCTGCTGGGTGGGTTGTTCGGGTCCCCTGGCTGGGGTGGGTGCTGCGCTTCAGGGGTGAGGGTCCCGCCGATCAAGGCCTCCGGCTCCATCGCCTTCTCAGCGCTCCCTGAACCGGGTGGTGGGCACGGTCCGGCTGGGTTGGAGCCGTTGGACCCCGGCTGAGGGTGAGCGGTGTGCTCTGCTTTGTGAGCTTCCCCCCTCTTCGGGGACACGGACTCAGCGCCTGGGTGGCTTTAGAGGAGCCTGTGCAACCCGTTAGATGGACAGCCCCGTAAAGGTTTTGGTGTGAAGTTTGTGGGAGAAACTAGTCTAGGAGTGTTCAATGTATTGCCTTGGGAGCCGCGGTTGATATTCTCAGGAGAAAAACCTCTCTGAGAGACCATAGAAGGGTTTGGGTTGGAAGGTGCCATAAAGCTCATCCAGTGCCACCCCCAGCCATGGGCAGGGACACCTCCCACCAGAGCAGGTTGCTCCAAGCCCCCTCCAACCTGGCCTTGAACCCCTCCAGGGATGGGGCAGCCACAGCTTCTCTGGGCAACCTGGGCCAGGCTCTCACCACCATCACAGTAAAGAATTTCTTCCCCACATCTCATCTCCATCTCCCCTCTTTCAGTGTGATGCTTGTATGTGTTGGGGAAGAAAGGGTAGGGAGCTCCACCACATAGGAGATGTTGTATGTGTTGGGGAAGAAAGGGTAGGGAGTTCCACCACGTAGGAGGTGTCAGTGTTGGGGAGAGCACAGTGGAGGGTGGTTTCTGCACCTTTGCTGCCTCTCACTTGCCAAAGAGTTGCCTCAGTAGCACAGCCCATAATGATTGTTGCGTAAAGCTTTTTGAAGATAAGAAACGGTGGTTTCTGCACCTTTGCTGCCTCTTGCCTGCCAAAGAGTTGCCACAATAGCACAGCCCATAATGATTGTTGCATAAAGCTTTTCAAAGATAAGAAACATATCTCTCTGATAGTTTGAGCCTCATGTGTGTTAACTACACAAGTTGGCTACTAGTGTAATGACCTTAGCATATCATAGCGGAACCAGAATCTTGGGGGATAAGCTGTTTAAAGGGGGGGAAAGTTTTAATGTGGTGTAATGATGGATTTAATATGGAGTAAACAGTGTTTCTTACTAGACGCTGTAATTAATTCTCAAGATCCAGACCAATGACTACTTCTCAGTAGCCCAGACTAGAAGTCAATTAGATAATTTTGTTTAAATAATGATTGTCTTTTTCTGAAATAGACTACAATGAATAAAAAGTTCATTCGATAGAAATTCTCAGTTAGCATGTACTAAAGCCTGTGGAAAGAATACAGGAATGAGCCCTATGGTTTTTGCTCTTTAAGGGGTGCTTTTATCATATCCCAGCAAACTGCTTTTAAATCTTTGCAGATAAATGGACTATAAGAAAATTGCGGATGAAGTTTCAGAAAAAATTTTATCATACAGTCAAGATACTTCAGGATGGAGAGTGATAAAAGTTTCAGTAAGAAAATATTAGTTAATATTGTTTATGACGTTATTTTTCTTAAATGCATTTTTGTTGCAAAAAGTGTTTTAAACTGCTTTCCTTTAAAAATTAGTTGACAGCTCTTTACCAACTGCTAAGTTTTTATTTTTCCTTTTTCTACTTTTGAGAAAAATGTTACGGTTTCTTCAAAGCCTTCAAAAGAGTATGCAGGACATATGTAAGTATTTACATTTCATTTGTCGTTGTCATGAGTAACAACACCTTTTTTTTGAACAGTGACACCCATGATTGAAATGGAAAAGTAAACCATGTTCTGTCCTTCATATGAGTGTTGTTTAGTTAATTATGGAGAAGATTTTGCACTGGGTTAGCAATGGGGCTGGAATACAAGAGATGGGTTCCCAAGCAATTTTCAGATGTGCCCTGAAAAATAAATATTATATAATGCTTATTAATATGGAATAAGTAGGTAAGAAGTCACAGCTTTGGCCTGAAGTCGGTGACCCTTTCCTGGTGGAGCATTCGATTCGAGCCATTACGTCTCACCAGCTGGGCTTTGCTTTTCATCCCTTCATACTTGTGAAATGATGTGATACTCACACACGCAGATGTGCTTATGTTAGCACTCTACTTATCTGTCCTTTGTACCTTTTTTTTTTTTTTTCCCTGGCACCCGAAACTGAATTAACTGTACTAAGAAGGTCATATAATGTCTGGAGCAGCCATTTCATCTGTCCTTCCTCCTCTTGCGTGATGAATTCTGTGCTAAGCAGCTAGATTTGGCCCAACGGGTGGAGTTAGGTGAGGTGGACTAAGCTGATCTCACAGTTTGCTGTCACTGATAGAGTTTGTTCTACTTTTTATTGTCCTACTGGACTCCTGGCTCTGCAATCCTGCTGCTCGTTTGTGGTAGCTGTGGCACTCAGTTGGTACTTTACCAACCTGATTCAGCTCATTAAAGGAAAGAAAGAAAAGATATCTCAGGGAATCAAATTGTGCAAAAGCAGAAAAAAGAGAGAACACTAGCAACATGTCCTTACTTCTCTCTCTCTTTTTCTTTTTTATAAGTACCTAATGGGTATTAAATTATATTGAATGCCAATCTAGACAGATAGACAGTGGAGAAAGTTAGCACCTGATTCTTTTTTGTTCTCAGTATGACAAGATATTTGTCACCAGGGGTATGCTAAATCCCAAAGTCTTGCTTGGCTTTCTAATTATTTCTGAAGGTTTGAGCAAAGAAGGTATTAATTACAGAGGACAGTGCTATATTGCTAGTATTACAGAAGAATTACTTTACAGTATTAAAATGGAAAATAGCTGTAATATTAGAATATGTTAAAAGCACGGTTATCTCAGAATTTGCACAGTTGGTATGTGGCATTATTATTGTGTTTCGGGTCTTATTTAAGTGTAGGTGGATGCGAGGGAGCGAGAGTCTGGTTGCTTAGAATTCGTAAGAATGTGCCTGAGTTATTTCTGTGGAGGAAAAAAAGATGTGCTTTAGTGTCAATCAGACATGAAGCCATTTTTGGTTTTACTCAGATCTATATAGAGCAAGTCCTCTGCAGTTAGGAGAAGCATCGTCGTTCTTTTCTGCTGTTCGGTACAGGGAGCCAGAATCTTTCATTTTTTTTCATTTTCTACAAATCTGTCACATTAACAAGCAGTACTGGTCTGTAGCATGTCTTTTGTGAAGGGATACAAGCTGTTACTTGGAGCAAAAGTCTAGCTGTTTGCATTTTCACTTTGACATTGAATATTTAT